ACTCTGACCTTTGCCATGCACAGTGGGCTTTTCACATTTTCATGTTTTCATCTACTGCCTCCTGTGCGCAAGACAGCTGCTGCCTCTCCAGGCATCATGTCTGTATACAAATTTCACAAACTGGGAGGGAACAGCTCTTGCATTTTTTTGCCTTTGAGGCTATCAGGGAAATGCCAGGCTTCTCTTTGATGTTTCACAGGCCAGAACTAGATCTCAGGACACCTCTTGTCTAGTCATTTGCAAAAAGAAAACGAGATTATTCTGACTAGTGTAGACTAATGGTGACTCATTCCTTGGGACTATGTCCCTGAGATATCAAGCATTGGAAAATCATGTTTCTATTAGAAGACTAGGAAGGTTTAAGGACCTTCAGGTAGGCAAGTCACTGAAGGACTTGTGCAATCTAAGGTATCTGTGTATGTAGAATGCAGATAGCACATTAGTTCTACATAAATCAGTTACAGAGGATTTTGAACTAAAAACTAAACACTGTTTTCTTTAAAAAATAAAGATAATGTTTTGTTTAAATTATTAAGTAATTCTGGAATGAAATAATGACCAGGTATACATTGTATTCAGTGATAAATTAGATTGACTGATGTTTTGATTAACCCATGTTCAGTTAGATCTCTATAGAAATTTATAAGGCACACATTTCTATAGAAATCTATATGGCACACTTGTTCAGTTAGATTTCTATAGAAATTATAAGCAGTATGAATTCCTCCATTATGTTCAATTTGGTTATGACCAAAATACTAACTTCCGGTATCATCAGATTTCACCAGACGGAGAGTAAGGTAAGGGCCACAGCACAGATCACTAAAGCATTTTGGGGGATCTACTTTCACTATTAGATTTTTTTTCTCCTCATGAGTGGTCTTCCCAGAGGAATGTTTGACACTTGCATGAATATACACTGGCACCCACCTGGTACCTAGCATTTGCCTCACTTGTCCTCTGTAGCATCTTCTTTTTAAAATGATTTATGTCTGTTTATACTGTGCACATTGACGTTTTGCCTGCATTTGTGTATATGTGAGAATCTCAGATCCTCTGCTGGAACTGGAATTAGAGACAGTTGTGAGCTGCCATGTGGTGGATGCTGGGAATTGAACCTGGGTCCTCCGTGAGAGCGGCCAGTGCTCATACACACGGAGCCATGTCTTTTGCCCCTTGCTGTAGCTTCTTGCCTTGGTCTGCTGCCAAGTTCTGAGGCCTCCAGATCTACCACTTAGGAGCTACTGCTTCAGGTGGCTTTCCCAGTACCCTCTGAAAAAACTTTCTCTTTCTTCCATGGATGACTCCATTGCCTCTCACTACTGGCCACCTTTTTGGCATGCGAAAGGAGAATACGATGTGTCAACCGGTGTAGATGTTTTCTTTTTAATAAATAAAAGAGACTCTAAAAGAACAAATCATAGGCAGCATTTCAAGAGGATAGGGAAACTGGAAGCTTCCTGCCAACCGTTTGCAAGACTGCAACACAGAATTGAGAGAAGGGGTCTCCTAGAATGGAATGATCACTCTCCTTAGAAAATCAACACAGAGGCCAGGCAACATGAAAATATAGTATGAGCGAGTGGGGAGGCTGAGATGGGAGAATCATACACGGGCAGTAGTCGAAAAACTCCTGCCTTGGTGATACAGAAGGTCAAAGTTCAAACACCATCACCAACATCAACAGAACACTTCTCTCAATTCTACTTTAATATGTTTTCTGCCCAATAAGTTTTCTTTTAATGTTTATTGTCATATTATTTTTATACAAATTTCCCTTCCACACACATTTTTTGGCCTATACATTATTTTTCAGTTTTGTTTCATTATATATCTTCTTTAGTTTGTTATACTATTTAATGCACAGAACAATGAGTATGCGCACAAAATAATCTAAGCATATAATAGGTATATGTGCACTTCCATGTTTATTGTGGCATTTTTCACAGTAATGAAGACATGGAGTCAGCCAGGCTACCTATCCACAGATGAACTGATAAATAAATAAAATGCTTTATTCTATCATAAAGAAGAATAAAATTATGTCATTTTTTTTCTTCAGGAAAAGTATTGAAATGAAGATCATCATGTTGAGTGAAATAAACCAGACTCAGAAAAGCAAATACCACGTTTTTTTCTTACAAGTGGAATCTATGTAAAATATACACATACACATCCATACACAAACATACATATGTAACATAGGAAGGGGACTACTTGGGGAGAGAAAAGAGATTGAACAGGACAAGGGGGGAAAAGATAATGAGGTATGAATATGATATACTTGAAAACGTCAGCGTGCTGAAAGCAAAGTGAACATGAGTTGCAGAGCCACAACTGACCATCTACAGTGAACCGTTTTTACCTAAGTCTCAGGGAAGACTGTGGAAGACAGGCAGAATGACCATAAGAACTGCACGACCATGATGCCTGGTGCTGGACAGTGTCTGCTAGACATAACAGAGGTGCTGCTTGCAAAAATACACCTAAAGTATAATCGACTAAGTAAGACCTGTGCAGTTACAACACCCATTGACATGCTAACTCAATAAGGGAAATTTCATAAGACTGTTCCTAGATGAAGATCTAACCAGTGACTGTTAAGAGAGTAAGAATCTGTCTTCTCTAGAAACAGGTGCATGATACAGAAGAAGTCATGAACTTGGAAGGAAGTGAGGGATGCTAGAGGAGCTGGAGGAGAGAGAGGGAATGATGTAAACACATCATTCATGTATAAATTTTTCAAAAAAATTTAAATAGAAATGAAATGTTATAATAAAATCCATTATTGTATAGGTTAAGTTTTAAAATTAACAAAAATAAAATATAATTAAAAAGAAACAAATGAATAAATGCACAATGGCACAATAAGATACTCAAAGAATGCATTCACAGACTTTGACACTTATCTTTAAACTCCTTCAAAATATGCATAGAGTAACCATCTTTTTTTCCCCTCAACTTCTCCAAAGATGTTATTTTGTTGATTTGTACAACCTGGGCTCCCATCTTCTCTTCCCTGCTTAATATAAACCCTTTCATTTTTCCATTCTCCCTCTTCAGAGATATTTGATGCTAATGTTGTACCTTTGTACTTACACAGAGAGAGTGCACACAAACAAACCATATATATTCAATCTATATATATATACACATATATACATATATTGAATTCTTTCCTCTGCTCACCTTTGACTTTTCTTTTTTCTTTTAATCATTTCTAATCTCTACTTCCACATTCTGACACACTACCTTTGAACACTTGTTTCCCTTTTTATCTGGCCTTTGACCTCATCTACGAGTTCTTCAGCAAAAAATGCGTCTGAATGTGGCTGAATGTGCATCTTTATCCACAGTATCTCACATGCAGGCGAGGCAATCTTTGGAACATCTGGTGCTCCGTCTTCCCTTGTTTTCAGATGGGGCAAAAGCCTAAACCAGTGCTTCTCAATCTGTGGGTCACCATCCCACTGGGTGTCCTTATCATATATAATGCCGATCAGGTACTTACATTATAATTCATACCAGAAGCAAAATCACAGTTATGAAGTAGGAACAAATAATTTTATGATTGGGGCTTACCACAACATAAGGAATTGTATTAAAGGGTCACAGCATTAGGAATGTTAAAAACAACTGACTTAGAGGTTTGGTATTAGGTACATGGGAACTAGCATAAACTTCAGTGAAAACACTTCTGTTTTCCAGGGGCTGTTTCTAACTAGAGTCATGAAAATAAAGAAAATATGTTAGAACCTCTCAGTTTTTGAAATGGCATACTTCTTATCTTCTATCTCTTCTCTCTATATCACAGCAAGGTTGATAGAATCCAAAGTGAAAGTTACAAAATTTGGTGAGTCTGAGACATATAAAGTGGCAAAGTCAACTTGAGAGTTAAGAACACATTTCTCAAAAAGAAACTATTACTAAACAAATTAGCTAAACTGTATCAGGTACTATGACTTTATTCTTAATCCCATTTTAAATGTAATCATTTGTTGAATTTTGCCTTTCACCGTACCGGCATTTTATCAAAAGATTGTAACAGGTCTTTCCTTATCATTATCAACATATCAAAGCCTTTTTTAAGTGGGTACAAACAGGGTATTTGTCAATTTGCTTAATATACACATCATTTTTTGAAAGTACAAAAGGATTCAAGATACTCAATAATTCATTTAATGATTTATTTCCAGAGGTACCATAAGGATGTTTTGAACCAAATGAATGAGTTAAAAATAGAAGTATTATAAAGTGATTGGCAGGTTAATATGAGGGTATCAGGCATGCCAGGCAAGTAAGCTACATTCCCATTTCTCCACATCTCTTAAAAAAAAAGAACAAAAAACAAAAAAACATACTGAAATTCAAAAATTTTTACAATTGATTGCAGCGGTTATACCAAAAGTAAACTGCATATTTCCTGTGCAAGTTGGTTGGTGTTTTTATTAAAAGACTTGGCTTTCAGCCTATGAGCTTTTACTTGTCTTTATGAGATGAAATATCTAGAATGGAATAGTAGCTGGGTCATCTCTGGCTATAGTAACTGACGCCTGGAATACTCTGCCGACTGCTCTTCTGGCAGGTGGTCCAAGAGGAACAGCTTCCGTAGAGGACAGTATTTCAGTTGCTGTGTTTCTTTCCTGTCCTCCCTGAGCTCTGACTGAACATGGATTCTGAGCCAGGGTTACAACTTTCTTTTGGCACAGGCAATTGTAAGCGTACCTAAGTACCCGGCCAGCACCATGGCTGCCAGGCATTGGAGGCTGTGGTGGTTGGGTACTTCTGTTCACTTAAGATTTTAAGTTCTGCCTGGCTCTCCTGTCCTGTCGACCTGCGTGCAACAGCTTGTGAAATAGTCCAATGGTGACATTCAACACAGAGACCACGTGTCTCTCAGGGACAAGATCAAAGTGCTCTCCACATCTGACCTCGGTCAGGCTGAAAGGACTGGGTTATGTCAGCAAATGTTCTCTACAAGGCCATCACTGACAGTTTAGAATAAAGTGCGTTGCCAATTGCCATAGCTCATGACAAAGAACCAGCAAATTAGGAGGCTGCCAGAGTGCTCGTATTAGACAAAGTTGTCTGTAAACGGCTTATTAACCTGGAAAAGCAGGACTACTTTGGCAATGGTAATCCAAGATAAACCTAGAGGAAAATCAAATGTCTCTGGGACGAGCCAAAGAAAAGAGTCTGTGCATTCTCAGCATAGGTTCTGATGGGAAAGTGTTAGGGGCTGAAATCAGCAGCCGTGTGGTGTGGCAGCTGCAGTGCGTTCACTGGCCAGAGTGCAGAGCAGACTGCTGGAAACAGGTACACTGGGGTGGAGGGGGTAGTCTCCTTTTGTAAAATAAATTCTGGAAGGGCTTTATGGATTGTTTTGGGGGAAATGGCTGATATTGGAGACTACTCAGTAACACCAATGCTATCGACTCACCCAAATTATGGACCAACATCTTACTAAGGAAAAATACGATAGAAGAAAATATTTTTTTTTAATTTATTCAAAGCGATTTTATTGCTGGTGTATATAAGAGAATTTATGCCACTAGAGCAGAGGCTGTGGATGACTCGTATTTCCAATTGGGTGGGAGGACCCGTTTAGTCTTATAGTAACGAGCCAACCGGTGAATTCTGCTCTCTATCAGAATCAAGCGGAATTTAGCATCCTTATCCTTACTGTTTCTCTCAATATGCTTTTGGATAGCAACGGCTTTCTTAATCAAATGGTAGAGATCCTCAGGGAGGTCAGGGGCAAGGCTTTTGGACTTAAGGATTCTCAAGATTTTATTACCAGTCACAAAAAGGACCTGTGCCACACCATGGGAGTCCCTCAGGATCACACCTCTCTGGGAGGGAGTCAGGCCTTTCTTGGCCAGTTTGTAAATCTGTTCCTTCACATTGTCAGACGTCAACTTTAGCCACGTGGGGATGCTACAGCGGTAGGGCAGCGCCGACTGGGACAGGCCCTTCCCAGGAGCGTGCATGCGACCCATGATGGCGGAGGTCTGGCAGCAAAGAGCAAAAGAAAATATTTTAATAGACCCTAATTGTGACTTTCAACAGTACTGTAGCATCTGAACGTGAAATTTATAATACTGTGGCTGTAAGAATTCTGTTCAGATAATATAATTATCGTCAGGTGCTATTTTGTATCTACAGTCTGTCTGCATTGTAAAAGGCACTTTGCATATGTCCTCTAGCTCATGAAGACACCTTGTTCCTGTTTTATGGGTGAGCTCACTAGCTTATACAGATATTGTAAAGTTTTGTCCACAGGTAGTGGTGTACATCTGTGATCCCAGCCCTCAAGAAGTTGAGAGATGTCAAGATTGAGGTTGACAGAAGCCTTCGTCAGTTCCAAGTCATCTGGGTTACATGCAAGGTACGGCCTCCGAAAAACAGTAAAATTAAGTCAGTTCCCTATGCACCCAGAATGAATACGAGGCACAACTGGAACTCCAGTCTAGAGTTATCTTCTTTAATTGAAAGGCGAGTAAGAATGAGCGCACAGTAGTTGCGGGGACCACACGAAAAGATGAGTAAGAAAGCACTCTCTGCTTTAAAGTGATGTTACGTGGTTGGCAGGCTGCGTGTCCAGACTTCGCCCTTGGACAGCTTCCTAGGGTGTTGAATTCTTCACAGGTGGCATCCTTCGGCTGAGTAAATGAAGCCTGTGGACCACTGAAATGAGTTACAACATCAAAACAAAAGATGGTGTTGAACTGTGCAGAGAAGGAAAAGACAGTGAATCTGAAGGCTGTCTAAGAGGTTGAGGAAATCACTTGGGGAAGATCAGCTTGCGTCGACTTCAGGTTTGCTAATTATTCTTACGGGAAAGCAGCTGTGCTACACCACCTGAGGGGTCAACAGCTGTATGTTCTTCAGCCCACCTTTATGAGAATCAAATTGTTTAAAACAAAACATGAGCTGGTGAGTTTGTTTTTCTAGAAAGCAAATGTGAGACCCAGTGTTACAGAGCTTTCTATCCATCCTCATAGGCCGTAATTTCTTTCACATGCACATTTTATAGCCAAAGACTCTATAATCCAGAGCCATTGATGTTTATGATCTCCCAAATCCCTTCAAAAATGAAATTATGCCCTGCATGATCTTCCCCAAAGAACAGCAAAGCAAATAATTGTGTTATAATGATGTTTTCCACCGAAGATGTTAAAATGTTAACTTTATCTGATTTCAACCCCAGCTTCTGAAAATATATGCAGTTAAGATGTATATGTTAATTCCTATCCACTAAGAGCACTCACCTGTTTATTATTAATGCTGAGGCTATTAAACAATACTTTACAATGAATCAAGGTTTTAATGTATTTAATATATGTGCCTATTTGTTGTGCATCGTAAGCTTAGAGGTTCTGAATTTCTTTGGAAGTCTAGAAATGATATACATTGTCAAAGTAAGACATTGTCATCCTGTTTAATGTAAACTACAAATATGCAACCTCATTTTACTCTTCATGCTCTGGCTCCAGAAACCTCAAATTCTAACGTGTTGAAGACTCTCTGGTTACTGTGCTTTCTGTTGCTGTAATCAGCACCATGACCCAAAGGAACTTGCGGGGAAGAAAGCACTTCGTCTCGTATATCTCTGTCACAGCCCACACTGAGGGAAGGCAGGCCAAGAACTCAAGCTGCACCATGGAAGCAGAGACTGAAGGATAACAATGGAATAGTGCTGGCTACTAGCTTGTTTTCTTGCTTCTGTTCAGCTACATTTCTTATATATCCTGGCCACCTCTGCCTGGTGATGGTATGACCCACAATGGAAATAGACCCTCCTACACCAACAGCAATGAAGAAAATGCCCCAGAGAAATGCCCTTGGCCCAAGAAGATGGAAGAGATTCCTTAGCTGACCCCTTTTGTCAGGTGTGTCAAGTTGACAAGAATGACCGTTGCAGCCATTCCATCAAACTGTATAGTTAACACTCTTTGCTCTTTTCTTCATTCTAATTTTCTGTTTGTCTCAAGTACCTCAAATGGTTACTGGATATATCATTTTCCCTATCTGTCTAAATGTTCAAAAGAGGATCCTACGAGAAGATAAATAGATGAATAAAATATTTGGAGGTGTCTGTTTTAATTTTAGAAATAGTAAAGCTATATGAACTTAAATGAGCCAGGTCACTCTCACCTGCCCTTAATTTCAGGTACTTGGGAGGCAAAAGATTATGAGTGCTATGCAAGCCTGGGCCATTTAATGGGATCCTGTCTCAAGATAAATTTAAAAAGTGACAGTGATGGGGTGGGTGGGAGAGATATATCAGTGGTTCTGGGATAAATTCCTAGTAGTAGAGGTGGAAAACTTCTTGAGTAATAAGCCTGAAGCATCAGCTCAAGTCTTGATTGTAAAACTCATGTTCTTTCTAGAATGTTCCATATTTGGACAAGAAAGTGAGGAAAGAGTTCATCAAATGAATGCCTTGACTTAGCAGTGACCCTATCATGCTTTCTGTCAAAACTTGGGTAAAGCTACACTGTTGTACCTACTGTCTTTTTATGGGTCCTTCAAGGAAGAACAATGCAGGACTGCTCTTGGCGTTGCCAGATGTCCCACACATTTATCCAGAAGATTGGCCTTGGGGAGGGAGATATAGAAGGCAGGTTAAGTGATGGGGGGACCTTGAAACATGAAGAAGCCTGCTGTGTGCATTTCCTCCTGTCTCCTTCCAGATGAGAGAAAAAACTGCTTCTTTCCAAACAGTCCATACATCTTAGCCTGTTGAGACACTGCAGCAGCTGCTACCCGCTTCTCCCTGCAGCTCAGCATGAATTTTTCTCTTTGTTGGAAACATGATATAAAAAGTCAATGTATTATTTATAGTAGTTATTTTCATCATTATATATTCACAATAATTGAAAGGTGGAAGAAGAGTATAAAAGAATAGAATGAGAAGAAAATGATCTGCAATGACTTGAGAAACATTCACAGAAAATGCTCAGTTGCTAAAAACAACAAACAAACAAATAACCCCCTCAAACAAACACTGATCTTTAAATACTCTGTAATCCACATCTGCAAGTCTCTATTTTTGCTGCTATATCCAAAGCAATAGTTGCTGTATAATAGAACCTGAAGAGAAATTGTCAATTCTTTCTACTTGCAGGACTTACTCATTGAGTGAGTCTACTTTCTGATGGTTGGCCCACCATACAAAGGAAATAGTGAGTTCTCTGCATGGCCACAGTCCACACCATAACCAAGCATACACTACTGACACTAGTTACCAAAAATGTGGTCTCAGTTGCAAAGAGAACTGATTGACACCGTGTACATAGATTAATCTAAACATATTACCTTTAAGAAGCAGACTCACAAATTTTATCTACTGACATGTGTTCATAATGCAATGTTTGATTACAAAGGAATATTTTATATCTATCTATCTATCTATCTATCTATCATCTATCTATCTATCTATCTATCATCTATCTATCTATGTCTATCAGATATAAGACACTCCTTATTTTCTATAAAAAGATATTCTCTGTGTATAATATCATGTATTTGGATTGGACAACACTAAAATTATCTCTTAATATTAGTCAAGGAGAGTTCAATGGTTTGAATGTGCTTCCCAAAGTTGATATATTGGAAACTCAATTTTTCTCTCTCTCTGTGTGAGTGTGTGTGTGTTTCTGAATTTGTGTGTGTGAAGGACTATGGGGATGAGAGAAAAGAGAACAGCTATATTTCTCTTTTTCACAATGCCATGAGACAAAATGTCTAACCAAGTTGGAACCTCTCTATTTGACTACAATGTCTTTCCAATCTGCAAACGTATGGAAAATACGCTTGCAGATTGGAAAAAACGTATGGAAAATACATTTATTATTATGTATTATTATTACATATAATATGTAGTATTGTGTTATAGAAACTCAGAATAGATCAGCACAGAGAATTTGGTTAAAAGGAATAGACAACATGACTCAAAATGCTAAAAATGGACCACTGCACATAGTAAGAAAGAAATCAACAGGTTCTTGTTGGGTGACTCTAATGCAAGTAGCTCTTGTCTTAAAGCTATAGCTTCAGCCCAAGTTCATTCTCCCCACCTTTCTCTGTTCTGTATTCTCATGTTGACTTCACCCCAGCTCAGATCCTATTTGGTCATAGTGTTGTCAAAGTTCTGGATCTTGTATACATGTACAGCAAAGTCAGGTACGAAAGAGGGACTGATTCCTAGGTATCACTTTTTTAAAATAGAAAATCCTTTGCTAAAGCCATCCCCCACTTTCCATGACTAGAATTTCATGGCATGCTTTTTTCCTCTATCAGGCAAAGGGAGGGAGATCAGCAGTTTTGATTAAGCATAATTAAGAGTATAATAGGTCACCTGAACAAAATGTTAATTCTGCCTAAAAGGCGGAAGCAGGGAATTGATGTTAGATTAGCAATCAAGAGTATCCCTTTCGGGTCACCCTTGGTTCAACAAACATTTAAATATCTGTGTACCTTGTTCTGTTCATATTTTATCAAATGTGCTCACATCTACACAAAATGCCCTATACCTCCTTAGCCGAAGATGACCCAGTCTTATCAGTTGATACCCAGTTTCACACTGGATATTTCTTGTCCTTTATTTTTCATTTCTGTCATCACAATCTAGGAATGTGTAGCTCAGAACAAAGCTTTCTTGCTAGCATATCCAACATACACTGGAACAGCTGGCCCCATCAACTGTGATTCTGAAATTGGGCACTGGGAAGCAGCAGACAGAACCATTGCCCTCAGCACTTGTGTCCTGTTGAATGAAAGCAGGGCTTTCTGTCTTGGCTTTAGAGAGAGGGAAAGTCTCCCCACCGGACAATGCCACTTCATACCAGGAGTAGATGTGCTCCTCTCCTCAGGGGCTAGAAATAGTCATCTACCTTTTAATACTTGTTCCTTCTTCCTCAGGACCCAGAATAGCCACTTTTTAAAAAGACTCCCTTGTACTTGGTTCTAGTTACCAAGTACAAGGTTCTATCTCCTATAATATTACTGGAAGTGTCATACAGCGCTTGCTGGCTGGGCCCATAATACCACTGATATATACTTGTGTTTCCCACACTTCTAGTTCACTGGTGAGATACTGGTTGGTTTAAGTCATGCAAATTCAGTATGGTACAGCCTCTTTCAGCCTAGGTTCTTGAATTACTACACGAATGAATCCTATACCATCTAATTTTATCCTGCCTCAGTTCTGTTATACATTCCAATTATATTTTAGAAATTTAAATTCTGGACCTATTGGCTATGGCAATTGCCCTACCCTGAACTACATAACTCTCCTTTATTGGAGATGAGAACAGGAGAAAACAAGTTTTCCAGGGTTACGTAGCTTTTGTTGTTTATGAACTGTTGGTGAAAATTTAGGAGTTGAGGGAATTGCTAATATCTAAGTGGTCACGGGCCATTTTTTTTTTTTTAAACCTTGGGCTTTCTTTGGTAATACGATTCCTGTAAGAACTCAGTAGGCTTCAGGTGTTTCCAGTCAATTCCATGGTTAATAACACAGCCAACGATCTTTTCTAGAAATAGCCTATGAGTCTGAGAATTCCTTACTCCATGCCAGGGGCTTGTACATGATGCTGGTCCTCCTAGACCTCAGATTAATGACCTCTGCCCTGAGGCAATTTAAAACAATAACCTTGGGTGGAAAGGCAATACCCATAATCCAATCTTTTCCAGCTGGGGTTCTCTCTTTTTCGGGCAGAAACAACTTTATAAAAATTGTTTAAGACAGGCCTGTAAGATTAAGCTTTTCTCTTGGCTCACATTTATTTGTTACTAATCTCCTGCTTTCCCTCTTTCTTCTTTTTTCTAACTTTATCATTCATCCTTTCATTTACTTGTGCATGTATGTGTATAGTCAAGCACGCTACCATCAAAGCAAAACTTTCAGGAGTCAGATTTCTCCTTCCACCATATCTTTCCCAGATAGCTAACTCATAATTAGATGGGAGATATGTATGTGCCATTTCAAATTAAGTCCTCTTTAAGATAGCCCTACTCTTTCCCATGAAATCTTACTAGAAGGCATCAATTGATATTTCTACCACCACTACTAAGACTAATGCCCTTGAGAGATCGAGTGCTGAAAAGCAACAGAACGGTTAATCAACGACTGGCCCAACCTGAGACCCACCCCATAGGAGAAAGACAGTCCCTGACACAATCAATGATACTCTGTCATGCCTGCAGACAGGAGCCCAGCATAACTGTCTTTTGAGAGGATTCATCCAGCTGTTGATAGAAACAGATTCAGAGACCCACAGCCAAACAATATGCCAAACTTGGGGATTCTTGTGGAAGACTGGGAAGGAAGGATTGAAAGGAGCTGGAGAGGTCAAGGACACCACAAGAAGACCTAAAGAGTAAACAAACCTGAGCCCATTGGGGTTCCTAGAGACTGAATCACCAACATGAGCTGGGCCTAAGCCCCTGCACATGTGTGGCAGATGTGCAGCTTGGTCATCGTGTGGGTTCCCTAACAATGGGAGTAGGGCCTGTCTCTGATTCTTTTGCCTGTCTTTGGATCCCTTTCCCCTAGCTGAACTGCTTTGTCTGGTTTCAGTGGGACAGGATGTGCCTCCCTTCTCTTTGGAGAAGAGCAGAGGGGAATGAGGGAGGGGAGTGTGAGGGGGGAAAAGAGGTGGAAGGAGGTTGCAATGAGGCTGTAAGGTGATTAAAGAAATAAATTAATGAAAAAAATATCAGTTGCCCTACAACTTCCCAGCCAGGTTCCTAACCGTGGCAACTCAGTCTCCCTCATTTATGCACTCCCTCTGTTTTCTTTTTCTGATGTGCTGTGCAGTTCTAGGTCGACCTTCACCTTGCTATGTTCCAAAGATCCCTTTGGGCTTCTCATCCTCCTGCCTCCTCCTCCCCAATGCTAGGATTATATGTATGCATCAACACAGCCTGTGTCTGGAGTGTTAGAAGTTGAACACGGGGCTTCCAGAAAGCTAGGCAAGCCCTTGAACAACTAACTGAGCTACATGTCCTGCATAAGTTCTGCATTCATTTAAAAATAGGAGCTCTCTGGGTTAGTGTGCTAACTCAGACAGCCAGAGGAC